AAAACATAATTAAAGAGCACATTATATGGAAAAGTAACATACTTTAACTTGATTTCTATTTTGGAAGACGTATTTTCAAAACTTTTATTTTAGTACCTAAAGTAAAGTTTTAAACATTTAAGTACCCGGGTAACTGGTTAAAACATAAACTCTTTCTTCTAATAAACTATAATACATAAAAACTAATTTTAGATTAACCACAAGGGTGGTGTCTGATTGGTTTGATCTTGGCTCCAAAGGTCAAAAGTACCAGAAGGTCTGAAGTTCAAATTCAAGGAGGAATAAAAATTGTCTTGTGGCCATGGAAGTTCAAATGCGGTGACTCCGGGCTATCTGCAAAGCAGGTGGTTGCCCTGGGATTAGTTGGCCCGCATAGCGGGTTGGATATCCAAGTTAATTAAAAAAATGTCAACAAATAATACTGAGTTGGATACCATATCACTCTCCACGACAACATGGTAACTGGTTAATGCTTCAATCGGTTACCTGGATACTTAAGTGTTTAAAACTTTACATTATAGGTACCAAAATTGAAGGTTTGAAAATACGTTTCCCAAAATATGAATCAAGTTAATGTACGTTACTTTTTAATGCAATTTGCCCTAACATTATATGTTAATTTAAAAATAATTTTTAACGGCAGATAATGATCTTGATTAGCGTCGTCTAAATTATCGTTTTCCCCCCTTAAAATCTATAGTAAATTTGTAAAGTTTGCTTCTCTACGTAAGCTTATAGTTACACTGTTGACATCTCATATTGATATCATGTGGCTCTGATAGAGCAAGATCCCGTCTCACTGTATTTTTTTATTAACATGGATATTCAATCCGGTTTGAGAGCCGACTAATCTCAGGGCAACCATTTGATTTGCAGGTAGTCCGGAGTCACTGTATTTGAACCATCGTGGCCACAAGGGGATTTTTGTTCCTCCTTGGATTTGAACCTGGGATCTCCTGCCACTTTTGACCTTTGGAGCAAAGCACAAACCAATCAGGCACCACCCGTGTGGTTATCTCACTGTCATTTTTAGTTAACGTACTCAATTTCGTCAGTTTTTTTTAAATGTACACATATTCAGAGTTTCGTCAAGACCTTTAAGTTATTAACAAAAATTACTTTGTCGGTTACAGAAATTAAAGTAAACGAAATCTGCATGATAACTGTGTTATTATTTAATAAGAAACACGTTAAGAAATCGGCCGTCTTATTGGAAAGTCTTTCATGATTTATTATAGATATCAATAACATTTAATATCCCGTCAATACATCGAATGATAGAAAAACACTAAAATACAGTCAAGTACAACAAAAACGTGTTTGTTTCTTTTATTATTTTTATAACCCATTTTTTTTTCACAACCTTCAAGAAATTTCAATAGTCAATTAAAATGGATCACTGGATTTTAGTGTATTTTCTATCGAACAGTTAAGCTGTATGTAACATGCAATCTGTTTTTAGTACTAATTGCGTATCTATGTAGTTCAGTAGGATGTTAAGCCTGAAATTGGTGTAGTATTATACTTGTCAAGTATTTAGGGGTGAAAATGAGGTGGGAAATGCATCCCCCGATCCTGCTCCCCTCGTATGCCCCCACCCTCCGCCCCATCTAATCTTTGTCGGGTTTGGGGGAAGGAATGGGAACCCGTCGGGTTAGGAGCGGGTAGTATAATTTCTAGAACCCGCATAGGGTATAAAAAATCGCCCTCGTCCTGCCCCGTTACTCGTCAAATGGGGAATCCCTCGCCCCACTATGAGTGGTTACTCACTGGTACCCATCCCCACAAATGAAAATTTCATCCTTGTTAGCCGCCGGGGTGGTGGTTGCAGATTTTTTAAGTGTAACGTATAAAATAACGAATATAGAAGATCGTTTTTATTTAACTTGTTTTTAATATGAAATCAATATGAATGAAAAATAATATATCCTTTCTAAGATTTACTTCCCTTAAGGATATCTCCGCTCATAGATCCATATTTGATATTTCTTGGAGGTCCTGTAAAAATAATTACAGTAATTTATACTATATTATAAAGCATTTGACAAAAACTTTTAAAAACTATTTTTTATACATAGAGTACTGTTTATTGATGGATATTACTTAAAATTCAAGATTACAAGTAAATAATGCATAAGTACAACTTATTAAAGCTTCATGCTTGAATTCGTGTAACTAACTACAGATAAACATGATCAAATAGTGGATAAACATTTCATTTTAAATATAAAAAATCTAAAATATAATTAAGATAATAATTTTGTTCTAACAGAATACTTAATTATTATCTTTATAAAAAATTATATTATTGAATCAAAAATAAATTACTTTGTTATTAAATCTAAATTAATTTAAAATAAAAAAACTGAATTAATCAAATAACACAACAAAACAAGAACTTTTAAATAGTTAATTTGATACTAATATCGATATATTTTTTATAAAATTTTAAGATATCTTCAACTTTATATTTTATTAAAAAAAAAACATTATCGTTTTTCTCAAAACCACATAAAACTGTATTATAACATCAACAAAAGACAAAATACATCTTATATGAGTTAATAACATATTCATTTGCAACATTTTTCAGTCTTTCTTATTGTATAACAATGATTGAAGCAGGGACGTACCCAGCTATGTGGCATAGTTGGCACGTGTCACCGTATTATTTCTCCGCTGAAGGGTAAAAAAAATTAGGTTCGTGAAAGGGGCAACATTATTAATTTGTTGTGTGTCACCGTATGTATTTTAAAAAGTACAATTAGAACAAGATTTGGTAGAGTTAGTTTGCAAAGCTTTTATTCCAACCCAGATCCAAGTTTGAATCATGTTAGTGTCATTTTCTTAGTCAAATGGTGCCTCCGTTTGAAAAAAAATCCGTATATTTGTTTCTTATAATCAAATGGTGATTTTTCCCTATATTTTTTTCTTATGATCAAATGGTGCCACCGTTTGAAAAAAAATCTGGGTCCGTCCCTGGATTAAAGTATACAAAGAGTAATGATTAGTTCGATCACACAAATGGTTGATGGTGGCATACAGGGGCGGATGTAGTGGTTTAAAGGAGGGGGGAAGAGACCTCAGTCAAAAACTCAAAAACAAAAATTCATAGGTTAAAATTTAGGTTGTACATGATTTACCTTTCGCTTTCCCCCATTACATTTTTCCGTGGGCCCCCAACCCCAATCAAAACTGTTATTCTAACAAAAAAAAATCTGTTGAAATCAATCAAAAAAACCAAATAAGTTATTCGAAATCGACAAAAACACTAAAAAGTCTTTCGAAATCAACCAAAAAACTTTAAAATTCCTCGAAAACGTTGTAATTAGGTTAAAAACACATCGGACGATTTTGCGGGTTTTTAGTCTACCTTAAAGGTGACCCCACTGAACAAAAATCTTGGATCCGCCACTGGTGGCATACAACGAAAAACTGTGGTTCAATAAAAAAAAACTACTACAATGAACGATTTAATGGCAGCATAAAACTCTTTACCGTTATACATGTCGATCCTGTCTCCAATATATACATCAAACTATGAAATCACTTTATTTCCACTTATTCAAAGATTGAAAACAAAAAACTACAGGTAGACATCAGATACAGTTATGTTATTCGAAGAATTGTTTATGGTCAGGTTATTATGGTAATTCATTCGAACCGATTGAGGTCAAATATGTTTTAGAAGACATTGTGTTAAACGTAAGGCTCAACTTAGCTTTATTTTTTCCAACTGATGATTCGATGAAACAGCTCCAAAATTGTCTTGCTGTATTTATTTCTTCCATTTGATGATTCGATGAAGCAGTACCAAAATTGCTTTGTTGTAGTTTTTACTAATGTTTTTTTTATTTCGTTGCAGTTGTTTTAGTTTTCTTAAAGTTTAAATGATGTATACATTTTACCCTTTTTTTTAAATATGTGATATTCATAAACGATTAATAGAGCGAGTAAACCCATATTTGACTTTTTTTTGTAGTATATAATATTTATATACGACAAATACAATAAATAACTCATACACCCTCCTCATTTTTGGTGAGGGTTGAACCTCTGACTTTCTATGAGTCAAAAGACTACGATATCGTTAGGACAAAGCTCATTTAATAACTCATATTTGACTTCTTGGAAGCCAAATGCATAAATACCATTGTGTCAAAAGCCTTTTGATTACATTTTATTTTTTAGAGTAAAATATAAACTTGCTTTATCTAGTTTGTCAAAAATAACACTTCTCGTTCCTGAAGTTTTGAAATTATAAGATGACTATCATGGTTTGTAAAAACATCTGGATTTGGATCACTCTATCTAACGACCATTAAAAGCTCCGTTAAATTAGGGACATTTTCATTTTTTATCTTTTAACCAGTCAAAATTGAATTTATGATTTTGGTCCCTGTAGATCTTGATTTGGTAAAAGTACAAAAAAGTTGAMAAAAGGACGAAAATGCCCCCCACTTAACGGATATATTATAACGGCCTTTAGAAAGAGGGATCAAATTTGGACGTACTTGCAAACCACGATGACCATCTTGTAATTTTCAAACTGCGAAAACGAGATTATTTTCGACAAACTATATATACTAAAAAAATTTGTAGTTTACTCTATCTTTTGTAATGGTTAATTTTAAATGTCTCAAAAGAGATTTTTGTAATGATATATTTTCTAAATTTATTTTATATCATTTATGTTTATATTTAATAAATTAAGGGGTTATTTGTTTACCTTCTAATAATTCTATTAAGAGGCAGTCTCCGAATCGTTAAGAGGTAAAAATTTGTTTGGCAAAAAAAAAATCTGCCTCCTAATGGTTCCAAAACTCTCTGAATAATTTTGTATCCCAAGTCTCCCTTAACTATTCAACACCCTAATTTCATCGTAAAAAACTACCAAACAATTATATTTCAGTTTACACTATTTCATGAGAGCATCTTAATCATTTTGACCACTTAATCATTATGCATCAAACCATTCAGCATTTACCAAACAACCCCTATACAAGAAAAAAATTGATAATTTACAGTATCTGATGTCTTATAAATTGTTGTGGAAAGATCATTTGTACGACATGTCACATTGTTTGAGCATAAGAATTCGACGTCTCCTACCTATCCAACTCGTGTTCCATACAGGATCTCCTGACACAATCCTGTACCCTGCATTCGTATACAGTTTTCGAGCACCCATATCGTCTTCGTAAGCTCTCAACACAAGATACTTGTACCCCCAAAGAAGTGCCAACATTTCACATGCCTTGAGCAACACACTCGCGACCTTTTTCCGTCTATTGATCCAAAAATCAACACGACGTCAGTCAGACGTACGTCATACGTATTATTTGGACTTAAATAAAGCTAATGAACACGGTTTTGATCATAGTTGTCATACGTTACTTTCAAATGACTACAAAATAGTTGATGAACAATCAATAGAAATCGTCATCTTAACATGATGTATAGTTCATAGCGCGAAACCACGAACATATACTGCTCTGTACCCGGTGGCATATGGTGACAAGTCACCGAAAGTCGTAATTCCACAGCGTGTATTTATAGTTTACGACGCACTGATATTTCCTTGTGAAGTGATATTTTGTGTTTCAGCGAGATGTTATATCAGAAAATTGAATACCTGAAATTACGTAAGACTGCTATTCCCGACACGTAAAGATATTCATTTGCCTCTGATAGATGTTTTATAACGGATTCGTCTCTAAAAACTGTAACGTCTACAACTCCTACAAGTTGTTGTTTTTCTTGATCATCGGTTGTGCTCGTTTCCGCAACCAAACATGCATATCTGATATCAAACATCGATTAAAACCAACAAAATATCGAATTATTTTTTACTGTCAAACAGGTAATCAGCTAAAAACAAAATAGGTCAAATACGCTCGTTACATCGATTGAAAAAAAAAAAACTCACAAACAAAACCTTCTTAGGGGCCGTTTACCAAACGCGTACTCAGGTAAGTGAACACCAAGTCATTTTACCTTACCGACTGAATATGGTAAGGATCAAAAAATCTTACCCGGTAAGAGCGAGACAAAGACCAAGAGTCTTACCCGGTAAGTGAAGACGACGACTCTTACCACGGTAAGCGCTTACCGGGTATATTGTTGCATATATACCGTTTTGGTGGACTAAAATCTTATCCGGTAAGTAAATGATAGTATTAAATTTACCAGTAAGCGTTTATCACGTAAGTGTTCGGTAAACGACCCCTTAGTTTATACAGACTTATTACTTTATCCACATAAGGCTTAATGAAAAAATAACCAAACAACTCCTAAATCTTATATGAAAATTATGCCGTATGAAAAAAGGCGTTTTATAATATTTATAAACAAGTGATGTGAATATAAAGGCATGGGATCACATGGGACCCAACTGTTTTTGGTGAGACCCACAAGACCACATACATAACCCTGAATCTTCATAGTGTTTTTACTGTGAAGATTTGTTTTGTTTATTTATTTTGTGGTCTCATAGGTCTCACGAAAACAGTCAGATGCCACGTGAACCCAATCTTGAATACAGATGTAAGGAAAAAATAGCGAGCACCTGTCGGGTGGTGAATTTCGTAGCCTGTAAAGGAGTCCCGCGAGCACCTCTGCCTGTGCATTGTAATTATAATAAAAAATGAATTATCGGAATTTTATTGGTGATTTTAGTATCATCAATTATCTTATATAACTGAGATTAAATAAGACGTAAAGGTTTTCGTTAAGCTATAAGTTTAGGAGTGAACACGGATTGGGTTGACTGTGTTGAAGCCATATAATTGACTCAACCCAATCTTTGCAGTTTGAAATATTTTTTTTTATTAACCTGGATATCCAACCCGCTATGCGAGCCGACTAATCCCAGGGTGACCACCCGCGACGGAGTTACCGCATTTGAACCTCCGTGGCCAGAAGGGGATTTTTATCCCCCTTGGATTCGAACCTGAGACCTTCAGACACTTTTGACCTTTTGGAGCCCAAACTCAAAATAATAAGACACCACCCTTGGTTTTTTTGTATAAAGCTTCTCCCTAGAAGCATATTGTATAAACCACTTTCAATATCATTAAACCACTACTAAACAGTGACCGACCCAAACCCAGATTCTAACAAACTTAAAAATACGGTTTGTTTGAATCAAAACCGAATACGAATTCAATTTGATTTCCCAAATGCGTACCGCAACTTGATTCGGTTTTCGGTTCGTGATTAAGAAAACTCAAACCGAACCGAAAGTTATATACAGTTTTTATTGCATAAAGTACAAGTCATTAAAGCAGAGTTACCTGAAAGAACTGAAAGAAGACATCATTAAAGAAGATGAGTGGTTGGTGAAAAGCCTCAGCTTGAATATTGGCCACACTTCTCATCTCCTCATCCTTTTCAACCATTTTCCTCACTTGCCATCCATACTCTTTCACCAAATTACCAAATTGCCCTTTACTGTCATCATCATCACCATCATCATCATCATCATCATCATCTACTACTGGTTCTTGAAGTTGTTGATCAGATGATGAGAGTGAAGAAGAATGGCAAAGTTGTTGACTTTTGTTGACCTTGTTGACAAATGAGAATCTAGGGTTTGTGATGGAGAGAAATAGATTGAAAGTTGGTGGTGGGTTTGGATTGAAACTCCATGGAAGTTGAGAACAAAACTCCATGGAAATGGCCATGGTTTTTGGCTCTATTTTCACTCACAATTTAGAGTCTTTTCATATCTTGATGGCTTTTTCAATACCATTCTCTCTCTCTCTCTCTCTCTTAGCCTTTAAACATGTTACAATAATTTTGTGATATATTACTATATTACCAAAAGTTTCTTATACCTAGTGGTAAATGAGTCTTTATTCTTTAACCTTTTAAAAAGTCAGGGGTTTAAATTTCACCAAATGTGAGTTTATTTGTTTTATTTACCATATGAATTTTTTCAATTAAATTGAGGGTTAGCAAGTATTAGCTCTTGTGATAATGTGTCTTCATTATTAATAACAAGTAGTACTTTAGCAAGCCGTGTAAGTGACAGTTTCATGTCTTATTTTGTAAATATTATTTTAACAACTTATGAAATTGCTACTTTATAAATATTATATTTATAAAAAAAATATGGATTTTGTATGTTCTTAGAGTGTTAGGGGTTGTTTGTTCACCTCTTCAATAGTTCTATTAAGAGGCAACATTTGAATCGTGAAGAGATAAATCTTGTTTGGAAAAAAAAATGTCTCTTAATTGTTATAAAACTTTTTGAATAATTTTGTATCACGGGTCTCCCTTAACCATTCAACGCCCTAATTTCATCGTAAACAATTACCAAACAATTATATTTCATTTTACACTATCTCATAAGAGCCCCTTAATTACGAAATTTTGATTGTTTTAATCACTTATATAAAAAAAAATGGTTACAAAGTGAATTGGTGGAGGGGGTTTTTCAAAAATGATTATTATGGACAATTTCTTTATTATATGGCAAAATATATCAAAATTTAAAGGGTCTTTTGTATATGAGTTTATTTGTCTTAGGAAGTTAAGGATTTAAACCACACCAAATATGAGAAGGGTGTGTGAGTTTATTTGTTCTATTTATCATATACAAATATATATATATATATATATATATATATCAAAATTTAATAAATTTGTCTTATTTTTATTTAATGTTTTTCAATTAGTGTACTTGCGGTCAATTTTTTCATACCAATTTAAATGATAAACGAGTTTTTAGCTTACATGACATTTTTAAGTATAAAAAATTACAATATCATCTGATAATTTGATATTTATAAATATATGTTTATTGGTTGTCAGTCGTATAAATTATGAGGAACTGAAAGTTTGTTATACTGATCGAGTAAAAAAAGAACTGATGGTCACTTTAAATAAAAGGTAGAGAAAAATACGTTTCTCGTCCTTGTGGTCTGTTAAAAAATATAACGTTCATCCATGTGGTTTCAAGATTGCGATTTTTGTTCTTACCTTTAATGTTTTTAAGTTTTTATATGCTAATAGGTAATTCTTTAAAATATATATCAAATCAAATTCGTTATATCTGTTTTTAAACTAAAACGAGTATATGTGGTATCCTCTGGTAGGGGTGTCTCCATTTGAGAACTTGTAAAATTGTGATAACCTTAAGAACTAGTGTAACATGTGATATTTTACATGATCTTTTTTCATCTACAGTTTGCATTTAGTGTATTGATTAACAACTTTTTGTTTTATGATGTATTTGTTTTATAATACGAACATTTTTTTTATGTATTTGTGAAACAAAACATACAAGTAAAAAAATTCATACTGTTAATCGAATACATATAAAATAAACACATTATGAATATATATATATATATTTTTTTTTTTTTTGAAATTTAGACTTAGATAAAAAAAATTAACGTATACAATATGTTTAAAAGGAAAGTTATTACAAAACCAACCGTCAAAATTGGTGAAATAACGCCTTTGACCCTCGTGTTTAAAATGTCAATGACGATGTTTGCCCCTCGTGTTTAAAATGTCAATGACGTCCTCTGCCCCTCGTGTTTAAGATGTTAATGGATCCCAGTACCGAACTAGTGATCAACTTCGGACCAAAAAAGTCGTTATCGTCAATTAAATAAAGAACCAATATTTCATTAAATTACTCTAACATGTCTATTAGCATAGGCTTGTTAAATATAAAAGGGATTTCAGTTTCATCCAGTTTTATTGAGTTCAAACGAGGCTGACATAATTCCAACCTAATAATCTAATGCATATTGTTTAAAGATTTTACAACTTAATTAGTGAAATAGAACATGAAATCGTAAGCTCCCAAGCAGTGGGACTTAACCCAACACCTTACGGCACGAGTTGACGACAACCATGCACCACCCGAGTATCCAGTTGACGGATGGACATCAAATGGTTTTAAATTGAGTTAGTTGGATTAGTCGGGGTTTTACCCATAATTTATTGATTTTCAGTGAAAAGTTGGGTTTTTAGCTTATTCAGCCATTTTACAGGGAAATTTATTAAACTAGCCGTTTTTTTAGGGTTGGTTTCACCTCCTATCATTTTCTCTCCAAGTTTATCAAAATTGTCGTAGGTCCACAAAACCCACGTTCGCAATTGCGAACCCAGCTAAAAAAGACAAAAAAAAAAAAAAAAAAAAAGAAGTTACACTTGCATTTTTCATCCAGATCTGCAAAAAAAATAGAAATTATAAACCTAAGACTATTTGAGTAAACCTTTCAAAAAATGACTGAGAGATAAAATCAACCAGTAAAAATGACCATTTTAATTAATTTTTCTGTTTTATAATCATAACAGAAGATATTGGTTGCTTTTGTAAATGAAAGCAAAGAATTGAAATATATAAAAACTAAAAGGGCTAATATGTAATTTTTTATACAATTTAAATGGCTCACGTGAAGGACACGTGTAAGGCTAGCTTTTGCTTGCTCATTATGACCACACTCAAATAGAATCTTATCCTTTCTACACACACACACACACATTTTAATGAATTTAAATTATATTTTGTGATGAATTTAAATATATTTTATATAATCTATACTATATTATAGTATTTGAAAAAAAAATTAAAAACCATTTTTATGCATGAAATACTGTTTATTGATGTATATTATTTAAAATTCAAGAATACAAGTAAATTATGCATAAGTATAACTTATTAAAGCTCTATGTTTGAATTCGTATAACTAACTGCGGATAAACATAACCAAATATAGAATAAACATATCATTCTAAAATATAAAATATAATTAGGATAATTATTGAGTTCTAACTGAATAGTTAATTATAATCTTTATTAAAAAAATATTATTAAACCTAAATTAAGTTACTTAGTTACGTTAAATTAAATTATAATAAAAATTTTGAATTAAAAAAATTACACAAACAAGAACTTTAAATAGTTAATTTGATACTAATATTGATATATTTTTTGTAAATTTTATATGATATTTTCAAGTTTATATTTTATTCAAAAATAAAAACATTATCGCTTTCTCAAAACCACATAAAATCGTATTATATCGACATGGATAAAAAATAAAACGAAACATTGAAATGAAAATGTGTCTCGATGTATTGCACGAGTACTCTTTTAGTTAAAAATAAAACAAATGTCTTATGCTCACTCAATATGACTTAACTCGCTTTAAACAAATGTCGTATGCTCACTCAATATGACTTAACTAAGTCATATTATCTTATCGTATGAATATGGCGAGCACCAATAATCTTACTCGATAAGAGCGAGAAAAAGAACAAGAGTCTTACCCGGTAAGTGAAGGCGACGACTCTTATCACGATAAGAGCTTATCGGGTAAATTATTGCATACGGTGCCGTTTTGGTAGACTAAAATATTGTCGGTAAGTAAGTAATAGTGTTGAATTTTACCAGTAAATACTTATCAGATAAGTTTTTGATAAACGGCTCCTTATACTAAAAAATCCCTTTTTCATATAAATTTGTTGGTCCAGTTTTCCAACTTGATAGTTGAATCATATGATGTTTATATCTCGTCCAGGGCCGTCCCTGGGAGAGGGCGACACGGGCGCAAGCCTAGAGCGCAAAAATATCAAGGGGCCCAAATTTTTCTCTTAAAATACAATAGTAGTCTAAAAGAATTTAATACATTAAAAGAAACTCAAAAAATTGTAGCATATAATAAGAGGCAAAAAGAATTTAGTAGATAATAAGAGCACAAAAATATATCAACTAATTACACCGGAGAAGAAAATAAAAAAAATTTAATTGGTCATTCATTATATGCTATTGTTTATTGTCTCTCTATTTTTTTTTTAATCTCCAATAAAGTCCAGTGATATTGCCTATTGCTATCTCTATATGCTTGACTGTTTTTGTGCTTCAACAATTCAACGTTAAGATCATGTGCTTGTTATTGGTATATATTTTTGTTGGATAATTTTATCAATTTCTACTTTTATTGACTATTGTTATTTTGGTTATCTTGTTCTAATTGTTTTTGTTGATTATTGTTATCTATTTTTGCTTCTACATAAAATATTTTACTATTGTTTGACAATCAATCTATTGTTCTTATAATTTATGACGTGTTTCATGACTTTGTGATTAATCAATAAAGTTTTTCTACTAGAAAATTTAGTAATGTCTCTTATATATGTCATGTTCCATGAAATTTTAATCTTATCATCTTATTTTAGTTGACCAAAAAAAGAATAAAAATAGAATTTAGATATTTTCATCAATTGTTTGACTTATGTATCTTTCATTGAGATTCCACCACACCACAAGATTATATTTAAGTGTTCAAATAATCATTTGTTGAGCTTGCATATTATATGTTTAATTCAATATTTATTCTTATTAGATCTCAATGGATCATATTTTCTTTCATATTAATATTGATCCTCATTTGTCTAGTTGTATAGGAAACATTGATAATCTTCTTTATTATTGATCTTTCATTGACCCTCGTGATTACTTCATTCACACGAATTCTCTTCTTATATCAAAATAACACATATTTCTTGTTATTAAGATTTTTTTTTCCTCACTAAATTATTAGCATTTTTTTGTACTCCATTTTATACTAATGAAAAAAATTATTGAATTTTTTTTCGTATTCACTAAGGGTCACTACAAGAAAAGTGAACTTTGACGATGCACTTTTTAGAGATGACATGTTTCCGCAACAAGTTATAGCATGTCGTCGTTATATACTCTTTCTGATGATAAATGAACTTTTTGCAACGGCAAAAGTCGTTGCCTTGTTTCTTGCAGTGGATCTTGTTTTTACGTTC